GAAACGGTAAGAGATACGACGTTGCTTAAATTAGAAAAAAGTTGCGCAATTTTGTGCTCATTAAAATGGCGCTTTGATATTTTAAAAATTCCGAGTACTACCGGAGATATCCGGAATAAACCGAAATTCACCCAAAATGATTTTTGATTTTTTTCCTGACCTTATTTGATAGCACATTGTTGCCACTTTTCCTCCTTTACAAGATGCCGCCATCAAATTTAAAATCTGACGTTTCGTCTTTGGGCCACCATCATCGACTTTATTTTTTTAAATACGACCCTGGATTTTTTATTCCAGATTTTGAGAGCTTCTGATGTCCAAAAATCTATGACGTATCGCATTTATTTGAAAAAATATTTTTTTTACCTTTCAGTAATTTCCTATTAAAATTCTCTTCTCTGTCTCTCTCTAACACATTTAGTTCTTATGGAAAGTGCCAATACTATAATTTTTTCGAATAAGTGCAATGCGTCATTGGTTTTGAGACATCAGAAGCCTATAAAATCTAAAACAAAAAATAATGGTCCGTAATAATGTAAATAAAGTTGATGATGGGGGCCCGAAGACGAAATGTCAGATTTTAAATTTGATGGTGGCATCTTGTAGAGAAGAAAAAGTGGCAACAATAAAGAGCCATTTATTTTGAAATATTTGTTCAAAGAGGGTGAGGAAAAAATTAAATCATTTTGGGCGAATTTCGGTTTTTTTCCGGATATCTCAATGGTCTCAAAATTGCGCAATGTATAATGAACATAATACAGACAATTATTCTTATTTTATTTTCTTTATTTGGAGCTTGGAACAAATATGGTTATTGAAAAATATTGTTTTTATTTTAAGGAACTAATTTTTTATGACTTTTTTTAAAATAAATATTTACTAAGCTACATTAAAAAAATCAACTGGTTATTAATCATTTTTTATGTAACGTATCTGCAACATATGTTTGAGAAAGGGGACAGCCTAGATCAAACCATTTATTTTGTCGAACAAATGTTGTTTCATATTATTTATGAAACTATCTCAGCATTTAGCTACAAAATTAACTGTTATTATTTACATTTGTATGATCACCTTTAGACATGTTTTTCACCTGCGCACTCTGTTAGCTACCTGTTTTTGGAATTTTCGCAAAAGAAAATTTGGGCGTCTTACCAAAATGAAGATGCTCACGAAGATTTAGCCGGTTATTAATGAAAAAAGTTAAATCGTGAAATCGACAACTTTTGAGTGTAGGACTGAAAATAATTACCTGTTTATTTGTAGGACAGTGTGACCATTTAATTGTAATAATATGTACCAACCTTCATTGAAAAAATCAACTTGTTATTAATCATTTTTTATGCAACGTAATTGGTACATGTTTGAGGGGGGGGGACATCGTAGACCAAACCCTTTATTTTGTCGGACAAATGTTGTTTCAAATTATTCATAAAATTATCTCAACATTTAGCTAAAAAACTAACTGTTATTAATTAAATTTTTATAATCACCAAATCGACATGTTTTATACCTGCGCAGTATGTTAGCAACCTGTTTTCGCAATTTTCTTGAGAAAAAAGTTGGGTGTCTGATGATTTGGAAAAAAGGGCCTCGGCCCCCGGACTAGTTAGTTTTTTCATTGGTTACTTCACTATCTGAAGCACTTTCTTCAGATGAATCATGTTCCAGCAGAACCTCTTTTGCATAATACATGCACTTCACACTGCCATTTTTAAAATTGTAATGTTGAGTGTTGAACTTGCGTCGTAATTCATGAGAGTTTTGCTCTCGAACGCCTGAAACCGAACGGGTCAAACTGGAGCCGGAGTACTTCGGAGTAACTCGGGAGCGTAAAGGGTGGCACCCGAAAGAAGAGCTGCTGTCGGGTGCCACCCTTTGAGCGCTCCCGAGCTACTCCGAAGTACTCAGGGCCGAGATTCTAAAATCACGATTCGACATACGACTCGATAACGATACCGGCCTTGTCGTCTCGAAAGGTACAATTCCAATGAGATTTCTAACCTAGAATCGTCGGAAAAATCGTCTCGTTGTCGAGTCGTATGTCAAATCGTGATTTTAGAATCCCCGGCCTGGCTACAGTTTGACGCGTTCGGTTTCAAGCGTTCGAATTCAAAACGCTGGAGTATGACAGGTCACTGACAGGGTGTGACGTGTTCTAGAAGCTCCCGAAAGCGGCTAAGGTCAGCAGCTCTGTGTGCCACACACCAGGTTCTCGAACGCAACCCTGCTTCTAAATTTGGCAATCCAATCCATCTGTCAGACACAAAATTCAATATGGCGTGGCGGCCAAGCAAGTTTATTTTGAATATGTGTTTTTTATGCTTATTTTAAGCGTGGTTTACACGGGATAGTAAATTGCGATAGAACTTCCCAGAGTAACATGTGCGAGCGATGAGTTCGAACACTTCCTAACTATTTAAACGATTAGGTTACTACATTGTCTTCAGAGTCAAATTCAGATATGGAATAACTTAGTTTAGTTGTAGCCCTTTTTTTACAATATATTCTGTGATGATGTCTTTTTATTCTGTTTTAGTTTATATAGTCATATTCACGAGAGAGTTTGAATTTTGACCGTTATTTTCACCAGTTGAAAATAAATAAAATCCCCAGATCTGTCCCTTTTTCTGACATGTATCAAATAATAATACATGAATATTGATTTGACACATAAAAATAACAGATTCGGGTCTTTGAATTTTGAATTTCGAATTTTTGTGTGAAATCTTTCAGTTTTTGGCCGTTTTCTGCATTGTTTTTTTATTTTTTATTATCGCAATCGGTTTTTTGGTTTTTTATGAAGTGTTCTGTGCCTTTGTGTTTCGGTGTTGCGTTTCAAACCTGGTTTTAGTATGGATTTAAGTGTTTACTCTTATTAAAAGTGTTTACTTTGGACTCTAATTTTAGGATTTTTGGATTTTAATAACTTAACTTCATTTAAAGAAATTGAAAATAAATTTTCATTCTGAAATGTATATCACTTTTCTAAATACAACCCTGTCGTTTATCCCAGCTGACGGAATCCAAGCGCTAATGCATGCTGACAACCTAAAGAAAAAGTTTACTAAAAATGTCAACGCGAACTGGCAACTTCACTTTCTATCGTGATTTAGTCTATATTGTTTCTTTTATTTGTCATTTTCGTTTTTAAAAAAGGAACATGTTATATGTATTAAAGTTCAAGTGTAAACTTGCTCTTTTATGTCTTCAACCATCATAGGTTTTATAATGGGAAAACTAATAAGTTAGAGAGGATGCGAACAATTCTGGCTAGGCACCAAGTTCTTGCAAATATAGGCTCTGCATAATGATAATGTCTTGTCGTATTGAACTTAACAGATTTCCCCTCTCACAAATACACTTTAAAGCACATAAAATGGTGAAACTCGGAAAAAATAGCAGATAAATAGCATACAATTTTACGCTGTGTCTAGCGGAGAATCCCGGTTATGGCGCGTTTTAAATGACGTCATCAACAACCACCGGTAACTGTCGTGGATCCCGGCTATTGCTATACAAGATGTTAATAATTATTATGTTCATTGGTATTGGGGCAGATTTATTATGAAGAGAAAAAAAAAGTAAACAAAGTCGGGCGCGATAAGCTTATGTAGGTACAGGGTCATTTTGAAAGTTTGTTCAGCATTTGATCTTGTACAGCAACGCCGTTGTTGTTCAGCAACATTACACAGGGTGCCCCAAAATTAGAGGTTAATATTTTAACTGCGGATTCTACATCTCAAATTAAGAGCAAAAATTCCTATAAACATGGTTCCAAGAGTAGAGGTAAAATCAGCACTAAAGACTACGGTGACGAAATAAAAAGCTGCGCGAAGCGGGTCGGATCTCTCTCCCTCGTCTATCTGTCGCTGTCTGCCGTGACCTCGGCCGTGAGCTGAAACCAGCAGCGGGGTATCTTTTTAGACAAAACTTGGATACAAAATAAACTAAATAAATATGCCTGCTGGCCGTACGACAATGAACCACGTGCTTGGCGTTCGGCAGCAGCACCGATCGATACGATACTTCGGTTAGTCTTCAAAATTGGGTTTGTGCGCAAATGACGTCACCGTACTCTTTTCTCTTGACGCGGACTCTAGGTACCCTATTTCAGAGATACAGGCTGTTAAAAAAGCTATAGTTCTGAATAATGAATGAAAATAAACCATACTATTCCCTTTTTAAACCACTACTACACTACTACGAAAAGTGGATTAACAAAGTACTTACCACTCTAATACCAATATCACAACAAGAAACAATAATACACAAAAGTTATTCCGAAATTAATCACAGCCTCAAGCAGCAAGAGAAACACGACTTTGAATTTTGAATCCAATAGCCAGGATCCACGATAAATCCCGGCGGCCGTTGATGAAGTCAACACGTCATAACCGGGATTTGTATGAATACCGGTGCCGGGAGGCTAGACACAGCGATTAAAAAATGAAGTTTGCATGTATGGCGGCTACAGTGACTCTATTACCACAGTGGCGACAATTGTTGTCTTATTTTTGATTGGTTCTAAAATCCCGAGTAAAATCCCATATATTTATATTGAAAACGCCGCCATCTTGTTCCCAACCTCTTGTTACTTTTAAATATGAATATATGGGATTTAGGTGAACATCCATCCTAAATCATGGAAAACAACGTATTTGATGGACCTATACTATAATGGTCATCAAATACGTCAATTTCAATTTTTTATGATAGATGTTCATTCAAATCCTATAAAATAATTTTTAAAAGTAACAAGAGGTTGGGAACAAGATGGAGGCGGGACCTCTATTGTCGCCACCTGTATGTGAAGGTTTATTTAGCCACTGTAATGGCGGCGTGGCCGCCACGCCATCTTGAGTGTTTAGATTACCTAATGACTTAGTGGGGTTATGTGATGTAAATAAATAAACATAAGAAACAAGAAACCTCTTTGGTAGTATTTTCATGAGTTCAAATCATTCTAACTGAAAATTGAACACATCGAACAAATAAACATGAATCCTCTTCATCAATTAATTAACAACATATACGACACCCTGATTGGTAAAATCCCTGGTGATGATGAAACCCTTGTTAAAATGCATACAAGACATCTTGAAGAACTTGGAGAACTAAGTTTTCCTTTGCCGATGAAAAATTGGTATAATTTAGCAGGAAACCTCATAGATAATCAACAATCTGTTACAATATTCAGTTGTGAAATGCAAGAAGACGACATAGACACTGCTTTAGTGAAGTTCAAGTCAAGTTTTAATGACAAGACAAAAATAAGAATTTGCAAAGTTATTAGGACAAGTGTGCATTTATTTCTTGAAAGGCCCTCATTATTCAACTGTGGAATTCGAATAGCATTAAATGAAGCTGATTCATATGGAAAATGGGCGATATTTTCAAAATGTATTAAAATAGACACAAATTTAGATATAAGCAATGTTGAGGACTTAGATTTAACTACCCTACGACTATCAATTATCAAAAAAACGTTGGATAACTTCCTAGAACTTACCACTGACATGCAATCTAATGAAATATTGCATGTCAATTTAAGCCACAACTCGGGCCATAATAATAATATACTTTGCGGCCCAGTAACAAACAACCAAGGCACAAAAGACACAACAAATAAAGCGATAGATATTTTCAATAAGAGAATCTCTGATATGAGACTGATGGCTCAACACAGATACCGACTAAATATCAAATCTGCTTCCGAGTGGCAAGACTTTTTCAATAGACTTGGCAGGGCATCAGTAACTATTGAATTACTTTCGAACAAACCACATAAATCAATTAAAATTGCCCTGAATGACCTAAGTGGCGTGAATAAAGGGGCTGCTTTTATTTTTTATAATTGTGCTAGGCTTACAATTTTGCTTAAAGAATTTAATAGTAAATCTAATAAAGGAATATATCCTGGTTTACCTAATTTAGACAATATTGACTTTAGTTTATTGGATCAACCTGAAGAGTGGGAACTTTTGTATGTGTATATTTTACAATATCCATTTGTTGTCAAAAATTGTGTTAGAAGTATAGAAAAAGGCATTGTAAATCCACAAAATTTAGTTACATTTTTATCAAGCATATCTTCAGTGTTTAGTGTGTATTATAGGAGAGTAAGGATATTGACCGAACCCAGAGACCATATGTTTGGATTGGTATTTGCAAGGATCTATTTGTTAAAAGCCCTTCAGGTTGTGTTTTATAATGCCTTGAGGCTATTAAATATAGAACCTGTTTCAGAGATGTAATATTTTTATAAAATATATGCAATGTTTTATTGTTACCTGGGTTTAATTCATACCTTTGAAGATACAACAAGCGACCTTCCAATAACATCTGCTAGCTTCACTATATTATTTTCCTTTCTAAATGTTGCTCTTCCATTTTTTTCTGCAACTATTTTACCTAAATCTCCATAATCCTTATTTCTAGAATCACAAACAAACATTTTTCCTACACTAGCACAACCTAAATATATTATCAAAATTATTAAAATTGTATTGAATAGAAATTTAAATAAACCTGTAGATAAATCACCACATTCATGTATGGCAATATTATGATTTCCTGGATTTAGACCATCTATAGTGCCGTCAATGATGCACGTATTAGGATTTACTTGTATAAAACGAATTACTCCTTGAATTTTTTCATCTCCTGCTTCAAGGATTGATACAGCAGCCATACTTCCATCATATCCTAAGGACTCATAAGGTAATGGTCAAAAAGCAAAAGCGCAACAAGTAAGTACATACCTTTGATTGCAACGGGTCGACCCGTGGTTTCTAATTTTTCCTGAACATCCAGGATTGGAAGGCTGCTTTCTACAACCACAGAGCTCTTAGCAAGGTCTATATCAACAATTTTTACTCCATCCACGTTTTCGAGGACCTTTTTTACTGATTCAACACAAGAATCGCAGGTCATTTCAACTAAAAACTGAACCGTGGTAGAAGTCATTGTAATAGTATGAGTGCTCCAATGAATGACAATGCAAATTTAATTTGTTATAAATTTTTTGAATTTTATTCTAGAACTTTTTACTGATCCCTGATCCCATATAAACATAAACAAACGAAAGGGGTTGGGGTGGGGGTGAAAAACATCATCGAACATAGCGCTTTCGACTTTTGCCTCAAAACTGCACCCGATTAACCAAAAAGCGATCTGAAACACGGATTCACATGTTCGGCTTGAAACGGCGCGTTGCTCTCGGCGCGTTCCACTTGTTCGAGCAATAGAACGCTCTCGAATCTCGCACGGAGCGGAGCAAGTTTGCCGCTCTTTCTTGCTGCACAGTGCCGGCCTTACCCTGATTTACCGCCGGGTGCAATTAACATCCCACCGCCTCTCAAGGCCGCAACAACGATGAGAATGCTGTGCTCTGATTGGTTTTCGAAACTTGTTTTAAGTTATTTAAAAAAACGGTACATCAGAATTGGCTCAAATTTGACTTAAACATTTGATCGTTTATCTACAATTCGCTTATTTTAGCTTTTCGATATTCTGCCTTTTTTTTAAATTCAAAAATCATGTTCGCAACCACCAAAACAACTAAATGTGTTGGTGGTGGCGTGTTTGCATGTTTATCAAGCTCGAATCCGTGAAAATCATATTTTATTGATAACCACAAAAAACTAAATAAAGCGAATTGTAGATAATCTATCAAATAATGTTTATGCCAAAGGATTTTGAAAATTATTGCAGATTTTTTGAGATAATCGTAAAACGAATTTTGAAGGTGAAAATTGGTGAAAATTTGACAGATATTACAGTTCAAACAATTTCAAGTAGATGGCGCCACGGCAAAAGAGCTACATTGGGAGCATCATAATTGTATATTTGTCTTTCTCTTTCACGAAGTGTTTCATCGACAAACAGATTTTGTTTTGGAAAAAAATAAAATATTGAACCGTATGTGTAAATTGGCGCATTCGTCATTTTCAAAAACTAAATTTAAACATGGCGGCCATTAACGCGGCCTTAACTTAAAGGTTCCTAGTTTTTAAAGTTAAAAATACATCAGCAAAGTTTTTTTATTCGAACATATTTTTTGTACAAATTAATATTAAAAGTAAGTGAAAATACATAAATACGGTACACTGATAAACTAACAAAATTAAGCAACAATATTAATAATAATAAATATCACAAATAAACTCAAGAAAAATATAATAGACTCTGAGATAGGGCCTGTTTAGTGGAGTCATTTTTTTTTGTCTGGTATTTTGAGGGATGAATGTGGCTAGTTAGCTGATGAGAATATAAGTGGTTTTAATGCCTGCTCCCTGTTCGAAATGTCCACAGAATGTTTCGCCAGAAAACTCGATTTCGAACTGTGATTACCGTCTGGCGATTTTTCAGCGTTATTTTCACAACAAAACCTTTTATTCTCTCGATTGCCAGACAAAAAGTAAACGCGGAAGGTTCTTTTCTTTTCTCTTGGAAATTGTTAACCATTCCCACTTTTTCAGCTATTGAAAAGCATCTGGTATTTTTCATGGATGAATTATATGTCAATCTTTTATTTAAAAACCATAAAATTTGTGATCATTAAAAAAAAATTCTTCATGTAAATCAATTTTTTTCTTCTGCAAATTTTCGAACGGGAGGCAGGCAATAAAATCACCAATATTCTCATCAGCTGAGTAGCCACATTCAACCATCAAAATGCCAGACAAAAAAAAATGACTCCACTAAACAGCCCCTATCTCACAGTCTATAAGCAATGTGGAAAAAAGTGATAAGACAGTAAGAGGAAAGTTCAGGGGATAATTATTAAAAAACACTTATTTTCCTAGATTTTGTATAAAAAATTTTAAAAAATGGGTAAATGCATACTTTTTTAAATGTCTATTTTTTCACAAACACACAGTATTACAGATTACAGTACCGTAGTGTCGTTATACTTTGCCATCCAAGGTGACTTTGCCAGAGTTGCCTTTTTTTTTGTAACAATATTTTTTGTAACTCCAATGGCAGAAACCTAGCGGAAGTTGTAGGAACTATTAAAGAAAACGTGGTTAACTTGTTGCAAATAGTCAGACTTGCGATTGCTGCGCTATGGTGCTAGTGAACACGTGCTGCATATAAGCTAAGAATTTTACGATTTTCAATTCCTAAAATAGTAAGACTTGTGACACCTTTATGAATACGATTAACCCAAAATAAATCCTTTTGCCAAAATATACACTTCAATGGCTAATGATTGTGAAATTTTGAAGTATTGAAAAATAATGGTTTTTGAGATTTTAAATTATTTAAAAAAAGGTGTGACCTTGCAAGTCACTCGTAGGTGTCTTTGGGTCGAATCTACAAAAAAAAAAATAGACAGCCGGCACTACAAAAACTATAATGAAGATACTGTAAAAGAAGCAGTGCGAAATATTTTAAGCAATGACTTAAGTTATTTCGATATTAAATCGTATTTTTTTTGTTTCCAACAATGAAAAAAAAATGGTACCTACCTACCTTTTTTAAAATCATATTTGAAGGCAAACTAACCCATATAATAGTCTTACATTTAGATTTAGGTGGTTTTAAACGCGTTGGCAAAGTGTCACCAATTTGTCGGAGACTTTGCCAGATTTTTAACAAAAAAAAATAAATAGAAGCAGTGCTTTCTAATTGTTTGTGTTTACAGGGATCTATAGCCAGAACATGGAATTTAAACATAGTCTGTAGCCATACAAATTGCTATATCGGTTAAAAAAATATCAGAGAAAAGGTCTCAAAACCGTGGCAAAGTATACCGACACTACGGTATGTGAAATTTGTGCAGAAAAATAATATAGGTACATTTTTTCAAAACAATTAACACCACGCAACCCATATATTCTAAAAACCAACCCTTTTTTTAAAATTTTATATACCAAGGCCCGGTTCATTCACCTTCAGGTAAACTGGCTGGTAACTATCTATAATTCTATCCCAAACAACACAGTACGTTTTAAAAACGTCCATTTTAGGTCATATTTACGTACGTACGTCTTGAGACCAAAATAATATGTACTAAGTACGTACTGCTTGGTACGTTCACTGTATGTAAGCTTCAGTCGTTCTCAGTACGTACATAGTAAGTACACAAAAAATTTAAAAAAAAAAAAAAAAATTAACACAAAAACTCGTGATGATAATACCTATAAAATTATTTGAATCCTATTTTGCATCTACCTATATCTACAAATGGTACCTAATTCTAATTAGTGATCAACCGCAACCTATACCTAAGTATTCTTCAAATTTCCGCCAGCAAAATGGATAATGATTGTGCAGCATTGCCAAATTTAATATGATTGCAAATGGAAGTTCAATGAAGGGTGAGTATTAATTATTATCTAAATAATTATCACGCCAAAATGCTGTTTTTAATTGTAGACATAATTTACCTTGATTGTCCAGATGCTTTGCACATTTTAATTTTTCTTGAACAGAACACTGTGACCAAACAAGGTAATAAACAGAGGCTTTGGCAATGTCGCATTTCAACTGTCAAATCAACTTCATGTTCTCTCTCCATCCCAAGCCAAGTACAAAGCGCCAGCCAGCCACGAGAAGACCGCCAAAGACCGCGTCCCGCGCCATTTTCTTTTTCCGCTCTCTAATTTCTTCTCATGTTTCCCTATTTTATTCTACCGATTTCGGAATAGTGATTCGTGAGATTTGATTACTTTTTTGTGTTAATTTCTCTTATGTAAGAATAAGAACGACTTGGACTTGGGTGAGATCGATACCGAATCCCTAACCTAAATTGTCTACAAGAGTGCAGTTTATTCGGTTATATAGAAGAATAATAAACAAATAATAGGAATTTTTGATGCTTTGGTTTTGGCTGGCACATTTTAGACTGTTTTGTCTGGCGAAGTGATTAAAGTGTGTTTTTAGAAATAAATGTGAAGTGAAAATGTGGTAAAATCAATGATATAATTGTTAATTTTTTATTTAATTTGTTGAATTGTGTCCATTTTGATAAAAATATGAAATCTAATAATGTGCAATGTACAATAAATAAATATATTATTATTATTTTAAATGATTTAATTGAAATTATTTTAATTTTTTGACCCTGGCTGTGTTCGTTTTTCTCATCTTTTTCGTCGATTTGCTCCGAAATTTTGACAGGCACGTGATTTGTAAAAAAACTTTCTGATCCAGTCACGTGCCTGTCAAAAATTCGGAGCAAATCGACGAAAAAGAATGACAAAAACGAACACATCTCCTGTAAAATAAGATATGAAAAGTACGTTTTATATACGTCCTTAAGACGTTCCAAATACTTCAATAATGTATGTAAATAAAACGTTTTATCCGGTGGAACTTGGACGTACTGTGTACGTACTTAGAATGTACAGTGGATTTTAGAGTACGTACATAAGACGTAAGCTACGTCGACGATCGACGTATTATGTACGTACTTAAAACGTAAACTGGTTGTTTGGGATTGGTCGGCGGATAACTGACCGAATAAAGATTGCGTTTTTTTCTGCCAGATTGCACATGTCTGACAGTTTATCAGAAGGTGAATAAATTGGCCCTGAATAGGGTTATTAATAAATCTTATTTGAATTCGCTCTACCTCTCTTTAGAGCCAAATTATGGACCGACTGGTAATGTCTCTGATAAATTTACCCTGGGATTCCGGGTTCACTAAAGCATGACACAAATCCGAATTCCAACAAATAGTACAGGAAACGTAGCAGCTTATAATAGGCCGACCTAAAACAAATTAGAGACAAGCTATACCTTTTCAACTTCAAATTGGGAACAATCAATTTCAATTTGGAACTTAGCAATTTCAAATTGGGATTAATCAACTTTTAATTGGTAACTATAACACGTTCAAAATGGGAATAAACAAAGTCAAATTGGAAATAATAGTAGATTATACCACGAGTCAATAATGATAGCTATTATTCCCGAGGATTATTACGAACTAAGCCGCGTTAGCGGCGAGGGAGTAACATTCCGAGGGAATAATAGCCATTATTGCGAGTAGCATACTCTACTTTATTTACGACAAATTAATTTATTTGAGATTTTCAATGA